AAACTAGAGCATGTAAGAGGGACATTTGCCTCCTATTTCAGGGTCATAGAGGGAGAAAGTAACAATCCTAAATAAAATATGGATAAGAAACAGTCAACAGGTGGGCAAAGGAGTTGGAGGTGTGAGCTGGTTAAAAGAGAGAAAGAAAGTGGTTTAGCAAGGGGGAAAACGTCTCAGGGGTAAATTGCTGTTGAAAAATTAAACAATGTGTAAACATGAACTCACTTTTTATATGATTCTGTCCCACGTGTTGTCTTTCCTAGGACTTTCATCATGTCCTCAAATATAATGCTTCAGAAAGTGCTGCTGGTGTTGACATCTCTTTTAGTCATCGCCTGGGTAACTTCTACAATTTCTCAAAACTTCACAACGGTATGAACAATTTTCTCTAGTTTGGTTTGAAACCTTCACCTGTGACCTCCATCAATTGAGCACTTAGGACAGTCAATCCTTCCCCTACCCTCCCACTCTAACTCAGCTTTCTTCTCTCCTTCTCTACCTCATTTCAGAGGGACATTGTCTCAATTTTCTCATTTCTCATTCATCCTCAATGCAATCTAATCAGATTCTACCTCTTATATGCCCCAAAATGGCCCTTGTGAAGGCCACAACCTTCCCTATCACTCAGTGAGTACTTGTCACCAAATCAGGTGCATATATTTCTTGACTACATAGTTCCAATTTGCCATTTTTAAAAAATTTGTCTATGATTTATGCTTTATGCAAACGTTATTTTTTTTAGTAAAACAGTGTACCCTGTTGTTTCTAGTAATTTATAATCAGAAGATTTTCCACTAAAAGATTATGTAGGAAATTGCCCATTTTTCTCATATTTTTGTTTTGTATAATTTAAATATTTGATTCACTTGAAATTTGCTGTAAAGTTGTATGTGATATTGACCTAATTTTGCTTTCAGCTATGGCTAGCTAGTTATTCTATTCCTCTTAGAAAAATTTCATGTATGCCTTCACAGATATTGAATGCAGCCTCTAGAGCATACAAAATTTTTATATATAATAAACTCTATTTTGATTCTTTATTCTGTTCCACTGCTCTTTTACCCATTGAACTTATAGATATTTCAGAAGCAAAATTTAATATCTAATAGTGCTCACCCTCCCCCCCAAAAAAAAAAACAACCCCGAAAACCTAATCCCCAAATTTCCCGGCCCCTCCTTCCTAATTTTTTTTTCAGGTGAACTTTCTAATTGACCTGTCTGGTCCAGAAAAATACTCAGGATATTTTTATTTCATTGAATATATAAATTAACTTTACAAGAAAAAAAAATAGTTTCATGATGTTTTCTGTCTAATAACATACTTCCCCTTTCAGTCACTCAATTTTGTTTCCTGAGTTTTCTTCATGTAAATAATTAGAAACATGTAAAATGTATAACTAAATATCTTGCTGTCATTTTGCAACCATACCAGATCATTTGTTTCACATTTGACACTTTTTCTGGTTTTGTGTAAATATGTAAAAGCTACTGATTTTTATACATTAAATGTACTGCCTAACTTTTTGCTAAGTCCTTCATCCGTAGTCATTCTTCCACCTGTACTTTGAGGTTTTCCATAATATATCCATATCATCTGAAGAAGAAAAGATAATTTTACCTCTTCTTTTCCAATTCCAATGACTTATTTGATTTTCCTTGTACAGTCACATTAGCAAATACCTCCAGGCCAATGTTAAATAGTAGTAGAACGAACGTAGGCAGTTTGTTTTATGCCTGATTTGGTGGCAAAGCCTCTACTGTTACCCTTTAAGTAAAACATTAGCTTTTGCACTACAGAATAGCTTATGGGTGGAATATGTAAATTTCTTTTTGTTGAGTGTTTTATAACAAATTTATGCTAAGTGATTTGAAGTAATATCTTTTTACTTCAGTTACTACTATATGGTAATTAATAAACAAATACTACTTTTCACCTCTTTCTCTACTGTCCAACCATTTTTATAGTGATATTGCATCTATACTCTCAGAGTATAGCCATCGTGTACATATTCCATTCCTTATAAGCATCAATTAGAATTATTCCTGTAAGCTAATATATATTTAGTTCTTACCACAAACACATCAAACTTTCTGCTCATTCTCATTGTTTAAAGTTTGGTCTGATTTAATAGATTCTTTTGAAGGATTCAGAAAAAAAATACTCTCCTAGTACTAACATTTTCAAAATAATTTGTCTCTGATATTTATCACAAAGGTCAATTTGTCTTATTTTAAAATTCCTGCCTCATATTTATCTTTTTGCATTCCTTAAATATTTCACTCCAGTGAATTTTAGCTTAAAATATTAAGTAAAGAAAATAGAAATTTAAGAAAAAA